GCTGGACTGGATGATCTTTCGAGGTCCCTTCGAACTGCTGACACTCTGTGATTCTGTGATCCTCTTGTGTATTTTTCTCCTTGCTCTCTCCTAGCTGTACACCAGGGACACACAAAATGCAGTCCTCGACCACGTTCCTTGAGAGACAAAGCTGATCACTAGCAATCAAATCCTTTCAGACAAATCAGAAACATGAAGGGGCTAACAAGACTTTCAAAAGACAGCAGCATGCAAACGTTTCTCAAAATAACGTCTCTGTGTACACAGCAGGCAGCTGCAGCCTCATCCCTCCACATCGCAGGAGGAGGAAATCCTCACTTTGCTTCTTGCTCCCTGCTCTGCTGCCACCACCGTGCTCACTTCTTCACTGCCACTTGAGTTTCAGAAATCGATACTTGTCTTCCAAGCACTGACTGCACAGAGCAACGGGAAACCAAGAAAACAATGCAGATTAATGAGTCCTGAAAACAGGGAACACAGATATCTGCTAACATCGCTTGTCTGGCAAGAGCACCCATTAGCCTGCAGCAGTTGGTATTAATGCAGCTCCACAATATTTATCAACTGGCAAGCATGTCAATAGCCTTCACATATATAGAAGCTTTTGATACACTAAATTTGATGAGCAGTCAGATCAGCCACTCTGAGAGAAATTCTCTGAAGCACAAAACACAGATAAGGTAGTACCAGGAAGAGAAAACACTGCCTTTAATCACCATGGTATTTAAGCTGATGTTGAAAAATTGAAGCTTCTACTATTGGCTTTACAGAATTATTGTGCTATTTTGGCCTTGCATGTGGTTTGAGAAATCAAATTCTGCCTGATGTATTCTTATTGAAGCCTGCTATTTATAGTCATGTCCTAACTACACTCGGGCTTTAGGAGAGCAGGAGGAGTTAATAACTCTGCTAACGGAGAAGGCAGAATCCAGCTTGAACTTCCAGTGCTGAGGGAGCAAAAGGCAGTTAAAATTCGCTTTCATTTAAGGCAGAATACTTCACTCGTCGTATCCAAGCAGCAGATGTGTGAATTAGAAGGGAGTTATTTTTACAGCCCCTTTCAGACTAGAACCAGACTTCACTGTACCTTGGTTGTACTAAGCTGCTTGCTCAAGCTAACTCTGCTTCCTTTAGCAGTTGCTCTTCTGGTGTAACCCAGAGTTTTCTTGCTCCCTTGAACTTTCACATCTCCATTTTGTGGCAACTTCAGCTCCAGGAACAAAACCTGAAAAAGGCCAGAATTCGAAATCAGTTTCTGCACGCTGCTCCCAGGAGAAAACAAAAAGCAACTGAGCACTTAAAGAGCTTGTTCCAACCTAAGGATAGCACGAGTGTTCCAGGTAATTAAAAAGCTGATTAAAGATCTCTGCTATCGGAGTCATTCCTCCTCATTTTAATTAACTACAAAATGCAATCTAAAATCCCATTTTCTGAACACTGCAAGTTTGAATGCAGATGTATGTTTTTAGAAAGGGTAATTAACTCCATCCAATAAGTGAGGTTACTGCTGACAGTCAACTGTAATAAAACATGATGTTAAGACAACTAAAAGTGGGAAGAACATTGGTGAAAAAAAGAAGTGTAAGCACGGAGCATGGTTCAGAGTAACAGGAGTGGCGGAGAAGGAGGTGGTGGCACATACTTTTATAGAATAGCCAGAGCATTAGTATTTCTAAAAAATTGCCAAGGACTGGAAAACTAAGTATATGCTCATTTGCTGACAGACAGAACACAGGTCTTCATTTTTCATTCTATGCTTCTACATAGCATTATACACTATTTAGCAGCTATTGTGTTTCACTTTGCAGCTGGCAGAAGAGAATAGAAGCATTTCTCTCCCACATTTTTGAGGCACAAAAATTTTACTGACACAAAATGAGAAGGGTAAAGCTCTACTAACCTATACAAGATACTTTGAATGATTCCTAAAAAAATTTCCAGATGAGAAACAACCTTTCGCAGTTCAGAGAACAGCATTTCATAAAGAAACAAACCACACTTTCTTTCCCCTTTTCCATGAAGCAGAGTGCAATTGGAGTTGAGCATTATTTCAGGAGTTTTAACTTAAGACTACTGTTACTGAGCAAAACTGCATTTTCAACAAAAGCAGGAGTATTTCTGTGGAACTTCTTCCAGTGATGGCTATTTCCATTTAAAGTATGGCTATTTCCATATAAAGTATAGCCCCTCAGCATGAGATTAGTATATAGAAAAGAGATAAATGGGAAAAAAAACATGCACAGCAATTATAATCTATACCATGTAATGTACATTAAAAATGTATATAGCAAAGCTGTACAGAAATAAAAGTAGAGCTAATTTACATAGAAATCTATTTCTTAGTTTTAAAACAAACAAAAAAATTCACTCTCTACAGGTTCTTAAAAACAGACAGTAGAGGATTTAAAACTTAAATCAGCCTTTCCTCCTCTTCCATGCCTGTACAGGGACAAGGGTAACAAAGCAACTTATTCACTACAAAAATTTTTAGATTCAAACTACGTGACATTCACATCACATCTCATGTGCGGAATACTAGTATTGCAAAAAAACTTCACTAGTCCCTCAACATTGATCCAAAATGCTCCTAACGCCATTTAACTGAAAAACCATCTCATGCGACATGAGAAGCCAAGGTCCTATGCAAACATCATGCTTATTTCCACTTGGTTCTTATTTCCAGCATGTTTATTTCCACTTCTACCTTCTTTATTTCTGCTAAAGTTAGCAGAAATCAAAACGATCAGCAATAAGCAGAAGCACAGCACCTTGCAGGCAGTGGGCTCATCAGCGTTAAAGACAAATGAACTCCAAGCAGAGTTCAATTTGTGTTTTGTCTTTTCTTCACACGCAGTCTGCCCAAGAGGGTTTGTTTTTTTCCTAGGCAAAAGCCTCCTGAGAGTAACTTCCGAGGAAGTTCTCCCTCTCCTACCCTATCGCTCACATACCTCTGCGATGTCATCAGGGCTGGTCAAGGAGAAGCTGTGACCCGCCAGCTGATAGGCCTTCGTCTCGATCTCGCTCAGTTTAGCTTGCATGACCTGCTTCTGGGTTTCGTAGGCTGTCGTGCTGAAACCGATGCCATTCAGCTCCAGCAGAGCCAAGCAATAATGGGTGGGCATCTCCACTTTAGAAAATACATCTGTAGGAAGTCCCAAGAAAAACTTTCATAATGTCAAAATGTCAAAACCAAGACCAACTGCAGATAAACAGATGGAGAAAAAGAAAAAATCCACACAACTGGGGAATCTTCAGGTTTTAAAATCCTGCAAGTCCTGACACACTAAAATCTTTTAACATAGATTTAAAATACTTTTGCTGCTGGAATATTTCACAGTAAGAAATATTTCCTATTAAGTATTCTAAAACTTCTTATCACAAAAGTATTTAAGAGAATAACAACTCCTGTTCTTTTTTTCCAACTAATATACATCTCTCTGTTTATAAGCATTTTATAAACCACAGACATGCTTCATGTAAAGCTTTCTATCTTGATACACTTTCATTCCACCACCCACATCTTTAAAAATGTTCTAACATTTAGCTGTCATGATTGTAACTGATGTGGTAAACTTTCAATAAAAGACATCAGTGAGACTGGATCCTATTCTTAGTCTTTGGATATAATTTAGGGGAAACAATCAAAGGCCACCAATAAGTTATGTGATTCGAGGGTTCCTTTCTTTTGTTTGCTTGTTTTTAAACAGAGATAAGCATTCAGCAAATATTAGAATCATTTAGAATCATAGAATGGCCTAGGCTGGAAGGGACCTTAATCCAAACATACTGGGTTGTTCACTATGGGGTCACGAAAGTTTCATGGACACAACATATAATATGGCAATGCTATACGGCCAGGCCAACGAGCAAGAGATCTCCTTCAGGAAGGAGTTGCTTCAGACAAGGAACAGCAAAAGATTTTGAAAATGTTCATAAGAAACCATAGACAAAGCCCCCTCAGAATGGCCATGGTACTCACTCAGGAGCTACCAATCTGCTTGGTTCGGAGACTTAAAACAGTCTCTGCTACTGCCTTAACCAATGGAACCGGTGGATATTTGGGATATAAAAATTGTATTTTAATTTAAAATTTTTTTTTTTGACAAAACAGATGTACTTCCGAGGGAGGTTGCTTCTTTTCTCTTAACAAATGAAGGCTTTGCCACAGAATATACTCAGACAAGAACTTCCAAATCTATTCTCTCCTCCGCTAATCATTCATCCTGTGGTACTCTCCATCCTTGTGCCCAAGCGGAGGAGATCTCTTTACCTGTCAGATTTTCCTTCTGCAATTCATCTCGGAGTTGGTTCATGACACTGAAGATAAGCACAGACTCTATAGCTGCCCTGTACCGCCCAGAATGGTCTTTGCTGGCGCTGAGCCCCAGGCTCTGCACCCCTTGGCCAGTGCCTACTCCCTCTAGTAGAGGTAGCTCATGGGGGACAAAGTTGGTCACCATGTTGTGAAGAGTGCGTTCCTTCGAGCCAGAGTCAAGCAGCCAGCACGCCACCTGGAAAAAAAGGGAGACCTCCGTGAGACCTTGTTTCCATTTTAGTCATAACACAATGTAAATATTGAACTGGGCATTACTGAAAGGTTATAGTGCAGGTGATCCTACTCCATTTGGCAGGCAGAACAAAATAATTCGTGGAAAAGTTACATGATTTCAGATAAAACCTTCAGGAGGAAGTAAGGCACTGAAAGGCAGTATTCTCACTCAAAGTCAATTCTGCATATTCGAAAACCTTACCCTTTGCCAACTAAGCACATTTCAAAATGTTGTCTTCACTTTTTTTATTTATTAAAAACCTAACACAAAGGAGATTAAATATGAAAATCAGAATCAAAACATGTTTAATCTGAAAACTGACTTTGTAAAATTAGAACTTGCTATTTCTTTAGAATATTAGCTCTCCTACATTTTGCACACCAGGACAAGCACAACGAATTCTCCAAGACAAATTTTACTCTCAGTAAGCCTCCCACTGTCTTCAAAGCAATTTTGCTTATAGCTATATTTCAATTTCTTGTGTCAAATTAGGATGAAACACAGGTTTCTGCATTGACTCTATGACACAAGCAGAAGGTAAAAAAACACATTATATATATACACACATAAACACACACAGAGGAAAGGAGGGGTTGTGAATGTCTATGGATGTGTCTATTAGTTGCACCACTAAACAAATACAAGTATGACTCCATTTAACACACAGAACAGTGCAGGGAAAGGTGTTGCTTTTATTGTTCTTTAATTTTATCCTAAAATTATGTATCAGTATGAAAAACTAAGTTTGTCTTCATGTTGAACACCTTCGCTACTTATCTGCAGACTTTAATATTGCCATGATGCTATTCAGCCAATGTGTGATGCAAGCTTTAAAAATCAACACCAGAAATTTCTATGCACACAGAGTTTTTCCTAACAAGGATGAGAAGGTGCTTTTACCGCTTCCCAGTCTTTCATTTGAGTTACAAATCGTACTCCATGTTTTTAAAATTACCCATAAATTTTGGGTTGTTTTGAGACAATAGTGGTAGCCTGGTGATCCATACACAAAGCAGGTAGATCTTTTGCTTGCAAAGTCTTCTGCTCTCCAAATCAATAATCTGAGCAGAAGCACTTCTGCCATTTTAGTCCCAAGCTGCTTATAGCAACAAGACTTCAGCCCGCAGAGATCTAAACTCATCCTCCCCCGGCAAGCAATCAGGCATGAAATATTGACGTGTTAACCAATCAATGAACTTGCTCTGTTTCTCTTGAGGGCACCATGAACACACACCGCAAATGAAATCTCCTCTAAATATTGTTCTAGATGTCTCAATGGAAGAAAATTTCACTAACCTCCCCTGACAGGTGTGCATAATGAAATCTAAATAACAGAAGTAAAGTACCAGAAGGTACACCTGTTTTTCCACTGGTGTGCATCAACTAATAATTTTACATGAGATAAATTTCTTAATCTGGTAAACCTTTGGGTCCTCAAAACTTCCTTCCAAGGAGATGCCACAAGCCATCACCAGAGTCTTGTAGTGCTGAATGAAGTTATACATGACAAGTGAGCGCTCCTGCATGGGCTTCTTCTGCAGGTACTGCTGCAGATGCTGCAATCTCTCTGTTACAGATAGGTTTTTGTCCAAAGGTGGTGGTGCCAAACTCATACTGATTTCTAAGGCAGGAGACATAAGCAAAAATCACCTTTTTACCCACTGCATGATAATAAAGGCAAGAAAAAAAAATCCTGAATACAATAACCTAAAGCACAAAAAACTACAGTTGGATAGTGAACAAATGATGATAAATCTATACCAGTAATACATATTTTATCAAACTAGCCAAGGGTCCCAAAAGCAATGTGCTGTGTCTGTACTGCGAAACAAAAGATAGCCAGGAACCAAACTCCAGCCACATAGCATAGATTGGGTTAGGTTCAGCATTCTAGCATCAGATTTGTTCTGGGGAGCAAAAATTGGAAGAGAAAAGCAAGTAAGCTGAAGACAGCATGGGAGTAAGTGAACATTTCACCATACACATGCTCAGAGTCTGAGCCAATTACCTGGCCTTATCGTACAGCAGCAAAGATGTACCCACAGCAACATGTTCAAGAGTGTTCAACACTTAAGGCTGCAGAGTAATGTGGCTACATCACTCCGTCACACAGTTGAGCTGGGTCTGGGACATTCAAAACACTTCCAAGAAGCTACCTGCTGAAGGTGCTTCCTTGAAATGCAGCATCACTAAACTAAACTAAAAAAAACTAAATGGCATAGGCTGGAAGGGACCTTAGAGATCATCATGTCCAGCCTCCCTGTTTTGGGCAGGGACGCCACCTCTCGACTAGACCAGGCAGCACATGGAGTCACGTAACACAGCACAGCCTGAACATCCACTTACCAGTCTGCTCTTGTACCTGCTGCAGGGAGATGTAGTAGGCATCTTTTCCACCCCAACATACTGCCAGTCCAACTACCAAGATGTCTTCACAGCCTTGGACAGGAAACCCATCATCTTTAACTTGCATCCACTGAGGAGAACTTACTAAAGGAATGGTTTTTGAGATACAATTATAAAATAGCATCAAGAAATAGAGAAGAGTTTGGATCCTGAAAACGTAAATACATGCAGCTGAGCCAAAATTTCTTAAAATTCAATATATACATTCATTTTTATCCATTGAGAGAAAAATTTTTGTGTGTTTTGGGGAAAACAAACAAACAAGCCATGTTTACAATAGCTAAACTTTCTCTTAACAGAAACAACCACCCATACAGCATCCCTGGAAAACTCTGGACTTTCATAGTAATGTCTTCAAGGGTTGAAACAGGAATGTATTCCCTCCTTCCACTCTGAAAAAAAATTCACATTTATCTGTCCAAAGTATATTTTGATAGGTAAGAAATGTTGTTGTTATGGCAATATGACAGCAAAGAATCTAACTCTGCTTAATCTTCTTACTTTAAAGGAAGAGAATGTTTCTACAGTGGCAAAGTGTAGCATATTAAAACTTCTGTGGAAAAAAATGAAGCAATATTGCAACAACCCAGAGACTGATCTGAATTTCACACATGCATATATTGAACCAACTTTACGTTTTGCAAACTTGTTAACCTTGGTTCCAAGGCAATTCCAGAAGGAGCACTGCTCAGTGGAGACCCTGAACAATCCGTACAGTTTACTGTTAGATTTATTATTCATTTTAAAATATATTCACACTTGTTTATGACATGGAAAGATACGTAAGATAAAGGGACTACACAACACAGATCCATTTCAAAACTAGACACGCAATGAAATGTTGAGAATATTTAGATGACCTCACATAGAAACAAGTTGCCAACACTTCATTACAGTCACCGAAGACCTACCAACGAAATTCCTGCCACCAATTCTCCATCCTCTACTAACACCCAGCTCCTTTGCTTTAATAAGACTGATAATTTTCAATTAATGTCAGTAATTTTCTGCCTTTCTTGCAAATCCTTTCCTTCTCCACTCCTGCCTTGAGCTGAGGATACCACCCTGCTGTTTATGAAATAACATGCTGGAACACGGGAACTGACCTTTTTTGAATTTGCCACCAATCGTCAATTTGGGAGACAAAAGACCTTTTGTTCTTTCACACGCCACTGAGATGGAGAATCTGCTTTTCTCTCTCCATTCTGCAATGAAAGTCTGGAAAAGTGCCTTGTCACTAGCTACATCAATAATAGTGAAACTTTCAGCGCTTAAGGGAACAAGTGGAAAAACATCCTGAGACAGCTGCAGTGAAAAGCCTTGGTCTATAGTGGAATCATCTTTTACTTCATCAGTCTCAACTGGGTCTACACTCCCAAGACTAACAGGGACTGGTTTTACCTGCAGATTGGCATTGCCCTTGCTATACTGCTGCGGCTGAATCAGCTGCTCTTCAGTCACGCAGGTTACTTCTCTCTTCCGTGCAGATTTCACAGAAAGAGGAACAGAACTCTTTGGAAAAAGCTCTTCAGGGGGTGTTGGAGGAATAAACCCGTTATTATTGTCTGGTGGAGGATGGGACGTTCTGTTGTTTCCCTTGCGTGGAAGTGTCACGCAGTCTGTTTTCTCAAGATCTGAGTTTTCCATTTCATTTTCTTTAATCCAGCAAGAGCCTTTTGAATTCTGGCAAGTGGGCAAAGGCTCTGGCTGACAACAGTCAGATTCAAAAACTGGATGTGGCTCTTGATTAACAACAGGAACAACTAACTTTCCTTTCAAACGGGAGCTTACTGAAATTGGTTCAATGCCTGAGGGACTAGGCCATTTGTCTAATATATCCTGCAGTCCTGGGCTTAGTTCAAATGAGTGGTCAGTCCACACAACTGGATGGGTTTTCTTGTCTAAAGCTGGCCAGCTTCTCTGGAGGTTTTCACCTTGATCTCCTAATAAATCCTCTGCTCTGGGGTCACTGTTACAAACCACTGGGTTTCTTAAACCTGACTGACCAGGAACTGCAGAAGGAAGATCTTCCCGAAAAGATGGGGAGTTTGCATGATCTAAAACTTCAGCTATTAGGTCAGAGAATGCTAGAGACATGTTGCTACACTGCACAGGATCCTCATGCTCTTTCTGATTACCAGTGACACCAGATTTATTCTGAATAGGCCTCGGGTTCTGCAAAAGACCATCTGGAGGAAGCAAAGCCTCTTGCTTCTCCACAGGGTCCTTTCTATCAGCTTCCGTGATGTGAATGGCTGAAAGGTCACTGACATTACTGAAGCTATCATCAAACAGCAAGCTATCACTTATATTCAGGCTTGTTTCGGGGACAGCGTGGCATTCTTCTTGTGCAACATGCTCCCTCCCAAAAGGGGAGGTTGCATTATTACGGTCTTTAGACACACTCTCCCCTTTCACTGAATTTTGAGTCTGGTAGTCTTGTAGAAAACTGTGTAGTTGGGAGTCGGTCACTGAGAAATCACCTTTAAGGCAAGGTGCACACTCTATTTCCTTTGCTAAAGGCTGTAAATTAAGGCCTCCAGGCTCCAAGGCTTTATTACTACATTGCTGAGCTGTGTTTTTTGTAATGTTGTTTGTTGTGATTGGATTCGACAAGCCCAGTTTTCTAACTGCTGCAGCCAGCCTTTCATCAGTAGCATTCTCAGTCTGTGAAGTGCTTAGTTTCTCAGAGATTTCCTGCTGTGGTACTGCAGCCAGCTCTGAACTTTGTATTCCCTGCTGTCCTGTGATTCCAGCTGCTCCCTCCTGTTTTATTATCATCTCTGTTTGAGTATCCAAGCGGAAGCTGTCTTCAAAGTCCCTAGAGACAGGAAATGGATCAGAGGATGGACCATTCTGAACAGCATCTGCATTGCAAACACCTCTGGATTTTACTAGTGAGACTGCCAGAAATTCCTTAGGATGACTGCTGGTTTTCTGCAGTGTTCCAGCTTGTAACAATATTCCATTGTGCTTTTTGCTCACATTTTTACCGCCATTCTCCATCTGAATATGGCAGGATTTATCCTCACCAGCACAAAAATGCACAGGCTTCTGTATCCTGCTGCCAGGGTGGATATCTTGAATTCCAGAGCAGCCAGCAGTTACATTACCATGATCTGCATCTAAAGCCATCTGCTGCTTATCAATCATCACCTCAGCACAGCTTGTATCTGTTTGCATTTTCTTAATTTTATTCTGTTTATCCTCAGTATTTTCTCTTCTCTGTGTCCTAGCACTACCAGGTATTACTACACTTCCTACAATATTACATGTCTCCACACTGATGTGTGGAGTGCCCTGCAGTGTAACAGGTGCCTGAAAACACACTCTCCCCTTAGATCTGCCTTTGTTAGTTGTGGTAGGATCTGCAGATAATCGTTCCATTTTATCTTTCTTTCTGAGATTAATTTCTCCCATCTGTACAGAACTTGAAACTTCATGAGTTACAGACCCTGTTTCCATAAATTCCTTATTATTTTGGTCTGAAAATAAATTATCTGTAGAGGTGGTGGGGTGGGAAGCAGGTGCCTTTTGTATGCCTGTCTTAAGCATATTTGGATCTTCAAGAAGTGACCTCTGCAGTTTGGAAGCAGTATTTTTGCTCTTAGTCCGGTTTAAATGCGTGTCAGTACTTTTTATCAGTCTAGAGGCTGAAGACTTTGTTCTCAATGTTGGTGTTTTCTCTTGTTCAGCATGGAGTTCTGGAACTGCTCCCCTGGAATCTGTCTTGGTTTTGACCAGAGAAATTCCTTCCACGTTCTCATTATCTCTACACATATTTGGCCGTTTTCTAGCACTGTATGCAATACCATCATTGCCTTCCTCTGCTTGAGTCTGTCTCCTGTCCAGGACTTCACTCCCAGTTCTGGAGGTTTCTGTACTACCACTGAGTCGCCTTTTACATCCCTTTTTACTTCTTGATAAGTTTCCAGCCCGAGAACCAAGGCACCATTTTTTGTTTAACATCCTTGAAGACTCGGAAGACTGCCCTCCATTTGATCGATGTAGTCTGTCCTCCAGTTCTGCCTCACTGCTGAGCACAGAGGATGTATCAGTCTCGAGAAAAGACTCTGGGTTCCACTGCACTCCCATCATTGCCAAATCCTGCTGGAGCAGTCCCCGGGCTTCCTCCACAATGAGGGAAGCTGCTTCTCTTTCAGTTAAGCCTTTCATTCCAGCCATCCAGATGCTGCGCACAGTCCGACGCTCCTCTGCTGATTCTTCATCTTCATCCACAGCCCTGCGAACACTATGGGAAAGGTAACAGACAGATGTAAACATTCATGCAGAAAATAACAAACACAAGGAGCCGACACTCTTCTGCTCCACTCCCATTTCAGCTAGCTTCACAGCTTCCCGGGAGCACTATATCCAAAACATAATGCACTTAATAGGAAATTACTATTTCAGTTTTCTATATGCGAACTGATGTCAATGAAAGGCATTCCCAGGTTTCTGCGTCCAAAAATGCACCCCAGATGAGTCCCCACTCCCTTCTAGGGCAAGATCCAGGTCAATCCTCCTCTATGTACTGTTTGCCAAAGAAAGGAAGCTTCAGGATCAAGAACCAGACAGGTGTCATGGCACAGTCCAAAAGGTACTTGATCAAGGAAGCTTGTCATTGCACTAACATGAAAATCACAAGAGAATCTCAAATGATATACAGCAATAAATTGACAACTCATTTGGTCATACGGTGGAGCTGCTTTTTAGAGGTGGCAAAAGGTCTCCAGAAAGCATTAACAATTCACACAGAATTAACAGTGCATAGAAAAGAGGAAGAAAATGTAGGTCTCACAAACTTATGCTGAATATAAAGACATTTCTAGCAATTTCAAAATAATCATGGAATGACTGTCATCAGTTACAAAGTCCTACAAGTTATTTCTAAATAAAGTTTAGCACCAAGTACCAAAAGGTTGCCACGCTTTATTACAGGTTTCATCCTGTAATACTTCACCTTACAAACTCCTTTACTCAACTTCTGGACTTACTGATTTCTCACCTTTTGAATGGCACCGAATTCTTCAGAGCAGTTGCCACGTCGTCAGGACTGGCTTTAGCAAGATCAGCCACTGTGACAAAGCCGGCGTTGTAAAGTGTCCTAGCACGCTGCGCGTTTAGCAGAGACACTCGTACCAAGTCACAAAGCTCCCTGTGAACCCCAAAAGTGAGGCGGCTCTGGAACTGAGAGAGCAACAGCTCCATGTTGTGCCAGCCCAGTCGATTACAGAAAACTGTTATCATTCCTGGAACACAGAAGTTACATCAATGTCTTAACTACAGCTCATTCTAAGCTGCATCCACTTCCAACCTCCCCATCTGAAGTGTCTTTCAGTTCACATTTCTCACTTTCCCATTACTTATAGAAACTAACTCATGGTTATTGTAACTATGACTGGGAGCTGGCCTCACAGAACTCAACTTGATCTAGAATAACAAATTTATCAGTGAGGCAGAAATTCTGAATGACGCTGCTTTTTCAAAGATACTAATCTTGAAAGTGTGAACCATGTGCGTATCCTGTAACAGAAGTCCTATGAAGCAAACACACTGAAGAAAAGAAGAAAGAAAAAGCAGTGATGAGAGGCACCAAGAGAAGCTGCAGATCTTTGATGAAAGTCTGCACTGATGTCCACAAGGGCCTGCAGAACTTCAGCACAGCAGGAAGCAAAGCCTGTGATAAAGGTTACAACTGCAGTCTCCAGTACATGGGAGGAGGAAAAGAGCAGGGAAAATAGTCTCTTACTCACAGATTGCATCTACAGAATATGAAAATAACTGAAAGACACAGCATCTCTCACTATTTTTACAGTGATTATAGAATACAACTTTTATCATATCTCTTAACTATATGTCATGTCAACAGTTCATTTTACTTCCCAAAGTACTTTTGTGAAAATTGTTAACACCAGGAATAGAGAATTGTGAAACCGCTACAAGGAGTTATTTATACTACCAGAATTCATTTAAACTGCGCTGCATCAGTTGGCGTGACCTTTTCATTTTGGGGCTTTGACTCATGCTGCAACCCACACATACGGTTTCGCAAATTGAGCTAAAACTGTCTTAAAAATTGAAGACCCACTTACAGAGTTATGGAGGACTTAGGAAACAGAAATTTCAGTCACGTGGTGGGCTGTTACTTCTACTCCTACACAGCCCTTTTAAGGAAGTTAAGTTAAAGGTGACAGCTATCTGACCTCTTGTTTCCTGGTGATAAATCACACAGAAACTACTCACTCCGTTTTGAAAACCATAATGTTATACTTTCTGGCCTATTAACTTTGCAACCAGAAGAAAGTCAAACTTTACCCATGAAGAAAGGTACATTTTTTCTTGTTAGAGCAAAGCTTCAGAATGGACTTGTACTTATTTCCATGCTTTGTATTGAACAAATTATATTCCTGCACAGTACACAGACCTCAGCATGCTACAGCACTACTCGATTCCACTCAGGTGGCCCCCTTCCCACAGCACAATCTGTGGCTCCATCTCAAAGCATGGGCAACCACAGATTAAGCTATAAAGCTGGAAGTGGTTTTACAATACTGACTGCTGTCAGTACCTCATTGTGGCTGTCTGATCTCCATACCTGGAAGGAAAGAAAACACACTAGCGTAAGACTCTTGGGGTATATTGCCCAGACAATTCACCTGCGTAGGTGGCAGCAGATTGCTGCAAGGACTGAAGCTGGCCACGACTACAGCCGTATTTCTTGGTCATATCCTTTAAGGGAACCTCACTGATTAAATCCAGAAGAGCAAGACTGGTGAAAAACCTGTAGAAGTACACGTGGAAATAAAATCATCATCCAGGGCACATTAGTGTATATGGAAAAATGCACGGTGCTAGCATAGGACAGAATGGTACTCTACCATAGCACACAAAAGAAATAGGCAAGACCATTTCTAAAATCATCAGCACTAATACCTTGTTCAAACTATGTTCTCAGTCCAGAGCAGAGGAGGTTCAGGTTCTCTGCACTATCAGCTCATTCAGTAGGTGAACCAGTTCCTGAAAACAGGCACTGAGCTTGTCCACTCCACATGTTAAAGCCTCCAGTCTTTGCACATTCACATGCATTTGTGGTTACCTTTTGTGGATGGCCATTTGTCTGTGCTGCTTCTCCGTTTTAGCTATGATTCCACCCTTTACAGAGCGAGCAAGAAAGCCTTCTTCAATCCCAACCAGCTCGGCCACCCGTTTCATTGAGGCAGGCAGCTTCTCCCATAAGCAGAAAAACTGGTACCAATCAATTGTGGTCCACTCCTCATATACTGGGGTGACCTAAAGAAAATAAAGACAATGCAAAAAAACTATTTCAGAGAAAAAAAAACAGAAGAGACCTCTGGGTAAACAAAAATACAGCCTAGGGAATGTAGTTAGAGCATCCTACGCACTACTCAGAGGCACTGACTCAGAAACATATACCCTGAAGAAAGCTCTTCTAACCCATTTTTTTTAATATGTGTACTGATGAGATCTGACTCACATGGGTACTCTGACAATTAAACAATTCAGAATCTTTTTTAGATTGCTCCCTAAACCCAAGTGGCTGGAAGATTTTTAAGCTGCATCTTTATTCTCCTTTAGAGAAGGAACCTTAAAGCCCATCTAGCTCCAACCCCCCTGCCATGGGCAGGGACATCTCGCACTAGCCCAGGTTGCTCAAAGCCCCATCCAGCCTGGCCTTGAACACTGCCATGGATGGGGCATCCACAGCTCCTCTGGGCAACCTGTTCCACTGCCTCAACACCCTCACAGAAAAAGATTTCTTCCTAATATCTAATCTAAAACCCCCCTCCTTCAATTTAAAACCACTACCCTTTGTCCTATCACTACACGATAGAGTCACAGAATCACAGAATGTCAGGG